ACACTTAAGGCAGGAGCATGGGTACAAGGCATAAGAGACACTTAAGGCAGGAACATGGGTACAAGGCATAAGAGACACTTAAGGCAGGAACATGGGTACAAGGCATAAGAGACACTTAAGGCAGGAACATGGGTACAAGGCATAAGAGACACTTAAGGCAGGAACATGGGTACAAGGCATAAGAGACACTTAAGACAGGAACGTGGGTACAAGGCATAAGAGATACTTAAGGGCAGGAACATGGGTACAAGGCATAAGAGACACTTAAGGGCAAGAACATGGGTACAAGGCATAAGAGACACTTAAGGCAGGAACATGGGTACAAGGCATAAGAGACACTTAAGGCAGGAACATGGGTACAAGGCATAAGAGATACTTAAGGCAGGAACATGGGTACAAGGCATAAGAGACACTTAAGGCAGGAACATGGGTACAGGGCATAAGAGACACTTTAGGCAGGAACATGGGTACAGGGCATAAGAGACACTTAAGGCAGGAGCATGGGTACAGGGCATAAGAGACACTTAAGGCAGGAACATGGGTACAGGGCATAAGAGACACTTAAGGCAGGAACATGGGTACAAGGCATAAGAGATACTTAAGGCAGGAACATGGGTACAAGGCATAAGAGATACTTAAGGCAGGAACATGGGTACAGGGCATAAGAGACACTTAAGGCAGGAACATGGGTACAAGGCATAAGAGACACTTGAGGCAGGAACATGGGTACAAGGCATAAGAGACACTTAAGGCAGGAACATGCATGAGGCAGGAAAGCTGGTGAGAGACCGAGTTTCTTTCAGGTGGCAATGATGAGACTGGTCTTCTGTAGAGAACCTGCTATAATGTGAAGTTGATGGTGACCAGGAGATGGCAAATTCTGTCTGAAGTATTCTGTATATTGAGAGAAAGAGAGAGAGAGTTTATATTTTGTTTGTGCATGGGGTGGATTGTGATTGGGAGAGTAAATGCTGTACAGTGTGTGTTGGGGGGGGGGGGGGGGGGTGTGTGCAGAGTTAGGTAACTAACTCTGAACTCTCTTCCTCATGCTTTGTTTTCCCGATGAGGGGAACACAGTATCCAGATTTAGAGTCGGCTGTATGTAAGCACTGTGAACAGCATTTCTGGGGTCTGATGCATGTAAGCATTGTGAACAACTTTTCTGGGGTCAGATGTATGTAAACATTGTGCAAAACTTTTCTGGGGTCAGATGTAAGTAAACATTGTGCAAAACTTTTCTGGGGTCAGATGCATGTAAGCATTTTGCAAAACTTTTCTGGGGTCAGATGCATGTAAGCATTTTGCAAAACTTCTGGGGTCAGATGCATGTAAGCATTTTGCAAAACTTTTCTGGGGTCAGATGCATGTTAGCATTGTGAAAATTTCTGGGGTTGAATTCATGTAAGCATTGTGAACAATTTTTTGGGGGTCGAATGCATGTAAACATTATGAAAATTATTTTCTGGGGTCGGATGTATGTGATCACATTTTCTGGAGTCAGATACATGTATACAAAGCTTTGTGAACAAATTTTCTGGGGTCAGATATGTGACAGAAGTAACGATGCCTTGTCTTCCTTTAAGTAATAAATACCTGCCATTTTTGCACAATTGTAAAAATCTGCGAAATATCTGAACAAATACTTGTATTGACTACAGTTAGACAAAGATATATTAGGCACACTCTGAGGCGAAATGAGCAAAGAATTACAAAACAGGCACTGAAAGGGGCAAACAAATGGTCCAAGAAAAAGAGGACGTCCAGTAGAAACTTCAGAAGAACATTATAATGAGAAGCTGACAAGGCTGGGGTAAACTCCATGTCAGAAATCAAGAGTTGCATGCAATAGAGCAGATTGGAGGATTCAAATGCAATTCCCATGTGACATCTAACGGCACACAAAGGGTGATGATTTTTGCCAAATGCTTTTGCTAACTGGCATAGGTGATCAGCCTTCTTCATATCTGGTGACCTTCAAGAGAATGTTTGCCTGAATGTGCTGCATTGCTTTATACCATCAGGAAAGGCTGACAAGAATCTTCTCTCATTGTCTTCCCTTGTCTCTCTTTCCAAAATCTTTGTTTGCTGCAGTGCTCCATATTTGTTGCTTCCCATAATGCCTGACCATATCAGTATTGCCTTCCTGATTGATTATTCACACTCTGAATGTACAACTGTTGCATATCGACGCGAGGGTACAAACCCAATCAATAACCCCCCAGATGTGATCAGGAAAAGTCTTAATTGCTCATAAAATCTGCCAAACCTCTGACAACAGAGATGTCTGTCTGTGTTTTCCATGACAGAATTATTTGATTACTGTTTTAAATATTTTAAATAGCAATTTGGAGATAACACTTGAGTCTTGTGAACAAAGCTGAAATATTCTTTCATGTAATAGTGTTAAAGAGCACTGGTACTAAGCTGCTGTCCTGACAGTTCATTCTAGCTTGTAAACACTTGTTGTGGATGTTCAATTTGTGCTTATCTGTTTGTTAATTTTTTTGGGGGTATCTGACATATTACCCTGCAGGCAATATATGCACATTTAATTGTTGGTTGCATTTATGACCAGAACTTGGATGCTTGCCAGCATGGCTTGTATTTATCTTGACTTGTGGATTTGTTTATGTTGATATGTGGATGTATTTATTTCAACATGTGATATATTTTTCAAAAAAATCCTGGATGTGTTTTTGCCTGAAATAATATTTACTTGTTTGTTGGAGGGTGTATAAAATGTTTCAGTGAAGAGTAGTTGTTAACTTTCAGAGGTAGACACGTTTTTACTGTAATGACAATTTATTGGTGATCGATAATTGGTTGAACTTTGTAAGTATAAAGTAAAAATTATGTCAAATGATTACTAAATGGATAGCTTAATTGTTAGTAAATAATTAAATCTTTATTTTAAAATACAATTGGTACTAGATAACTTGATGGATAATGGATAACAATAGATTATGGATAATTGGAAGTTGATAGAAAGATTGAACAAATGGTGAATAATATCGGGATTAATAAAAAATCCTGTGTGCTCTGATGGTCTTTATATTCACATGTCAAAGTAAATGGATATGGCTCAGTTTTTTGTCTGTGGTCTCAAAGTAAATGGATATGGCTCAGTTTTTTTTGTCTGTGGTCTCAAAGTAAATGTGTCAATTGAAACTATTTTAACTCTAAAGTAAATGATCTCTAATTTGAAAGTGAACCTTGATATCCTTCTGTGATAGCAGTCAACATAGTTTTAAGTCTGACACAATCGCAACGACGACGTAGTCTCAAGCACCTGACGTGACAGAAACAAAAATGGCGTCAAAAGCTATATCACCAGGCACATCACCACCTTCATCATCGTCTTCTTCTCTGTCCTCGTACAGTGGTAGCAGCAGTGAGGATAGGTGTGTGCTTCATCTGACTTGTTTAATCAAATGTAAATCCAAACTTAACTTGCTGGCTGTTCCCACCTCTGTTGATTTGATAGTTAAAAATCTATTGCCTGTGTTTTATTTGTTGTTGGTGATCGCAACCAATAGAATACTGCTGGTGTGTTTTGATTACTTTCAATTTTTTTTTAAGCAACAGTTTTTTTCCCTCCTAATTGAATATGGCTGCCATGATGGTTTTTGGGTTCAGGCAGTTTATAAAATATTTGTCTGTTTTTATTGGACAAGAATGATGCTCCTTTTGTCGCTTCGGAAGGATGTTTAAAGAACAGCCACTCCCAAAGAAAATTGCACGAGAGTTTTGCAGAAAGAAAGTGTAAATAAAATATTTATACAGAAAATATAACAAGCTGAGTATACATACAATTTAGTGACAGTTCGAATAAAGAAAATTTATCATCATCATGTGCCCTGCTGAATGGCATGGGCGTTCATGCGTCTCCACAGATCTCTGTCTCTTCTTCTCTGGATCATTTCCACTGATGATATGCCACCGTCACAATCCATCCGTCATCATCTCTCTTTGTCTGCCTCTCCCTCTTTTACCGTTTATCTTCTCACTCATCACAATATTCTCCAAAGCTCCCCTCCATCACATGATTGAAGAACAATTTTTGAATGGAAGAACTCTAATCAGTTTTGTACCTGATAAAATGTATTGAGTTTGTTGGGAAAAACAATGAATGTTGCACGATAAAGTGTTTTATCTAAAGAGAATGTTAGGAGTTTTTGTAAAGAAAAGTTTTCCAAAGAACAAAATGAAATGAGGCCTGTAGGTACACATACAGTGAGTCGAGCACTGTCAGTCAACTGGAGATGTCCATGTGTGTACACAAGCTAGCCCACCACTGTCAGTCAACTGGAGAGGTCTATGTGTGTACACAAGGCAGCCCAGCACTGTCAGTGAACTGGAGAGGTCTATGTGTGTACACAAGCTAGCCCACCACTCTCAGTCAACTGGAGAGGTCTATGTGTGTACACAAGCCAGCCCACCACTCTCAGTCAACTGGAGAGGTCTATGTGTGTACACAAGCCAGCCCACCACTCTCAGTCAACTGGAGAGGTCTATGTGTGTACACAAGCCAGCCCACAACTCTCAGTGAACTGAAGATGTCCATGTGTGTACACAAGCCAGCCCACCACTGTCAGTAAACTGGAGAGGTTCATGTGTGTACACAAGCCAGCCCACCACTGTCAGTGAACTGGAGAGATTCATGTGTGTACACAAGCCAGCCCAGAACTATCAGTGAACTGGAGATGTCCATGTGTGTACACAAGGCAGCCCACCACTGTCTTGGGAACTGGGTATGTCAACACCTTGTCAATTATTGGCTGGATTTTGTAGCCAAAGTTTTCTATTAGAAGAAGTAGCCAATTCTGTGTCAGCCCTCCTAACTTGCTTCTTGTGACATGTATGTTCAGTTAGAATATTCCTATTGTTTGCTTCTAGTTTATTCCCACTCCAGTTATGAAGGTGTATATTGTCACTTGCTGTATTCATGCTTTTCATTATTCCCATCGTCTGATTGATTTCTGATCTGATTGATTCTCCAGGAAAGTGGACCCTTATGGCTTCCTGCGGTCCGAAGAGTTTGATTTCGACTCGTACGAGGAGTTTATGTCTTCTTACCTGTCCACACTGGCAAGACGGGCATCACGATGGAAGAGTAACTACAACAACACCAGGAAACTAAGCACTTCGAGAAAATGTATGCTGTCATTTGTCATCTTTGCGTCCAATCATCTGTCATCTTTATGTCCAATCATCTGTCATCTTTAGGGATTGTCTTTCATATACAAATTAATTCAATATCTATAAAGGTGAGAGGGGCAGATTCATTGCTTTGGGTTTTATCTTGGTTCATGAAGCATAAATAGGTTTATGTTTATGATGATCTGCAACAAAGGAAGGGATTGTTGTCGCGGAAAATTATTACATGGAAGCAGTTATGATTGACATCTACGCTGGCAGATGGAACATTAAATAGAAATGTCAGTTGAGGATATTAGGACATATGTTATAACCATGAAAATTGTAAGAATGTTACACTTATAGACTGAAATTGTTGTCCGGTACAGCTGTGCTGCCTGTGGGGGTTCTGGGGCCCTGTTTGGGGTGGGGGTTGGGGGACTCACTCGCGTGCGCACGCTTGCGCACACACATACACACACACATACATACACACACACACATATACACCCGTAGACAAGCATGTTAAATAAGGTGACTAATTAGGAGTTTGCTGAAATGGGATATTTGGGCCAACAGGCACAGATATCACACATTAGCTGTAAACCACAACACAGCATGCTAACTGCACTTATATGGATGAACTCAGAAGTAAAAGAAGAAACATTCTTGGACTGCAGCTTAAAAAAGATGAGGCCTTATTTCAGACTGTTGAGAACACTTAAAAAGAGTTATGAGCAAAAGCAAAATACTAGTACCATGAGAGCTAACAGACTACACTATTGTGGCATGTAGAGAGAATGAGGCAAAAACTGAATAAACAAAACTGGGAGGAGACTGTGGATCAGACCCAAAAAAACGGAGAGAGAGATAGAGATCATTCAGGCATAGCTACAAACAATTGGAGTCAACAACTGGAAAGAGAAGGCCAGTGACAGATCAACAGAGCTAGGTGATATCTGCAGCATTAAAGCTATCTGAAGGATGATAAAGAAAAAACTGAAAGCACTTTCTTCAGCCCAATCATTTGCCAGCAAGTGTTAACCAGTGTGTTACACAGCAGCGTCTGCACACAACCAGCATTAAGTTCAGTGACCGTGACATTCATGAATGGGGTGGGATGAATTGTAACAGCTGTCATTGATATGGTATTTTTGTGTGTTTTGCTTGCAGTAAAACGGTTTTGTAGAAAGGGAATTCCTGGAGACTTGAGACCTGATGTGAGTAGTTTTACTTAGCGTGGCTTCTCTTTTGTCTGGTTACACATGGCTTCTCTTTTATCTGGTTACACATGGCTTGTCTTTTATCTGGTTACACATGGCTTGTCCTTTGTCTGGTTACATATGGCTTGTCTTTTCTCTGGTTACACATGGCTTGTCTTTTATCTGGTTTCATGTTGCTTGTCTTTTGTCTGGTTACACATGGCTTGTCTTTTATCTGGTTTCACGTTGCTTGTCTTTTGTCTGGTTACACATGGCTTGTCTTTTGTCTGGTTACATATGGCTTGTATTTTATCTTGTTACATATGGCTTGTCCTTTGTCTGGTTACACATGGCTTGTCTTTTGTCTGGTTACACATGGCTTGTCTTTTCTCTGGTTTCACATTGCTTGTCTTTTGTCTGGTTACATATGGCTTGTCTTTTGTCTGGTTACATGTGGCTTGTCTTTTATCTGGTTACATATGGCTTCTCTTTTGTCTGGTTACATATGGCTTGTCTTTTGTCTGGTTACACATGGCTTGTCTTTTGTCTGGTTACAAATGGCTTGTCTTTTGTCTGGTTACATATGGCTTGTCTTTTGTCTGGTTACATGTGGCTTGTCTTTTGTCTGGTTACACATGGCTTGTCTTTTGTCTGGTTACAAATGGCTTGTCTTTTGTCTGGTTACATATGGCTTGTCTTTTGTCTGGTTACAAATGGCTTGTCTTTTGTCTGGTTACACCTGGCTTGTCTTTTGTCTGGTTACAAATGGCTTGTCTTTTGTCTGGTTACATATGGCTTGTCTTTTGTCTGGTTACAAATGGCTTGTCTTTTGTCTGGTTACATGTGGCTTGTCTTTTGTCTGGTTACAAATGGCTTGTCTTTTGTCTGGTTACAAATGGCTTGTCTTTTGTCTGGTTACATATGGCTTGTCTTTTGTCTGGTTACATGTGGCTTGTCTTTTGTCTGGTTACAAATGGCTTGTCTTTTGTCTGGTTACAAATGGCTTGTCTTTTGTCTGGTTACAAATGGCTTGTCTTTTGTCTGGTTACAAATGGCTTGTCTTTTGTCTGGTTACAAATGGCTTGTCTTTTGTCTGGTTACAAATGGCTTGTCTTTTGTCTGGTTACAAATGGCTTGTCTTTTGTCTGGTTACATATGGCTTGTCTTTTGTCTGGTTACAAATGGCTTGTCTTTTGTCTGGTTACATGTGGCTTGTCTTTTGTCTGGTTACAAATGGCTTCTCTTTTGTCTGGTTACAAATGGCTTGTCTTTTGTCTGGTTACACATGGCTTGTCTTTTACCTGTGTTACACCTGGCTTGTCTTTTACCTGTGTTACACATGGCTTGTCTTTTGTCTGGTTACAAATGGCTTGTCTTTTGTCTGGTTACAAATGGCTTGTCTTTTACCTGTGTTACACCTGGCTTGTCTTTTACCTGTGTTACACCTGGCTTGTCTTTTACCTGTGTTACACATGGCTTGTCTTTTGTCTGGTTACACATGGCTTGTCTTTTGTCTGGTTACAAATGGCTTGTCTTTTGTCTGGTTACATATGGCTTGTCTTTTGTCTGGTTACATATGGCTTGTCTTTTGTCTGGTTACACATGGCTTGTCTTTTGTCTGGTTACAAATGGCTTGTCTTTTGTCTGGTTACATATGGCTTGTCTTTTGTCTGGTTACATGTGGCTTGTCTTTTGTCTGGTTACACATGGCTTGTCTTTTGTCTGGTTACAAATGGCTTGTCTTTTGTCTGGTTACATATGGCTTGTCTTTTGTCTGGTTACAAATGGCTTGTCTTTTGTCTGGTTACACATGGCTTGTCTTTTGTCTGGTTACAAATGGCTTGTCTTTTACCTGTGTTACACCTGGCTTGTCTTTTACCTGTGTTACACCTGGCTTGTCTTTTACCTGTGTTACACATGGCTTGTCTTTTACCTGTGTTACACATGGCTTGTCTTTTACCTGTGTTACTGTTGCATATCGATTGTGGATATCAGCATTGTTTATTTTAATTCTAGTACAGGCTTGGATGTCGGCTCTGTGGCTAAGTCGATGCAAACGCTTCGTAATGCCGGGATGTCGGATTCGATCCCAGCTGCGGGCCATGCGCCTTGCGTTGGTTTCAACAGTGGTATCAAGAAAGCCGACCATCCAGAAAGCAATGGCAAACTACTGGACGTAAATTTGCCTAGAAAAACCACACAGCAGCCAGGGGCTGTTGAGGTTGGTTCTGCAACGTCCTGTAAAGGATACACAACTAACAGGCTTGGTTGACCAGGCTGTTGACATGGCCTGACAATATTTTTTAATTCTGAGTTAGGACACGAGGTTTCAGTATTTTGACTGTGTGTTGACTTAGGACCAGAGTTGACAAGTGGATGCACGAGGTGTCAGCCGGCTTGGGTTAATAGTCGTAACTAGTTTTTGTAGAGAAAGACTGGGGCACGAAGGTGGGAAGGAAAAAAGGTGAAAAGCGTGCATGAGTGTGGGCGTGTCAACTGTCATGGAGGACTCACAGCACACATGTATATACGGGAGCAGTTGAAGAGTCGAGCAGAGAGAGCTGTGTGTTCCTTTGTGGGAAAGCTTGTCTTGGGTGATGACACGTGTGGCGGTGGTGTTCACTACTGAAAGATAGGGATTCTACTTACGAGGAATGACCCTCATAGATATCGGCTGCCTGCTCTGTGCTGATGGCACTTAGAGTTTGGATTCCTGCAGGTCATTGTAGAATTCTTGGCCGTGGCTGATTTGCTGTGTGCGTACTGGGGAAACTGTAGAGGTTCCTGGTCAGCCGATTTAAAAGTGCCTCCTGTTACTGAGTATAGATATGGAGGTCAAGATGAGTAAGTTAGATGGAGCCTGTTCATTCTTACTGCTAGCCCTGATGTAAGGGTTAGCCAGCAGCCGAGGCCGTGAGCTCGAGAGTCTGTTGACAGCAAGTGTAAGCTGTACTATGGAGCTCCGCCAGGACTGTATTGGAGAATGCGAAGCATGATGGGGTTAATTCCATGTTAGCCAGTGTATAGACATACGTGATGTACTTCATTTCCATTCACTGTGTGTAGGTTAGTAGACCTGAAAGTTCTTTTAAATAAGCATATGACAGACAACCGTTGTTGAGTTTACCTGACTGTGCCAGTGGGACAGAGTTTGAGCACCAATCGTAACCTAGACACTTGACTATATGTTGGTACGCTGCCACTCATATTCTGTGCCAGTGTGGAAGAGTTCGAGCACAAATCGTAACCTAGACACTTGACTATATGTTGGCACGCTGCCACTCATATTCAGCACACAACAGTTGCCTGGCTTGTCTTTTGTCTGCTTTCACTTGCTAGAATTAAGATTAGAAGTAATAATTAGTAGAAAATGCATATGTGGAGTAACATGAAAAGAATATAATAAGGATGGAACTCCCAGGGTGGGTTTCCAAGGCCCATTTTGTGGAGTCAAAGGGTGGGTTTGCAAGGCCCATTTTGTGGGGTCAAAGGGTGGGTTTGCAAGGCCCATTTTGTGGGGTCAAAGGGTGGGTTTGCAAGGCCCATTTTGTGGGGTCAAAGGGTGGGTTTCCAAGGCCCATTTTGTGGGGTCAAAGGGTGAGTTTCCAAGGCCCATTTTGTGGGGTCAAAGGGTGGGACTACTAGACCCACTACACAAGCATATCCTAAAATGTAACTAATAAAGGGGTTGCCGAAATCGGATGTGTTGGGGCAAAAGGAACAGATATTGCAGCCGAGCTGTAGACCACAACACAATATGCCAGCCACCATTTTAAGGTTATGGTTTTGGGTTGCCACATCATGAGAAACACTGTATTAAAGGGTCGCCACAACATGAGGAACACTGTATTAAAGGGTCACCACAACATGAGGAACTGTAATAAAGGGTTGAGGCATCAGAAAGGTTGAGAAGCACTGGCGTAAATCATTAGACTCTTTATGTCAGTACTTGTTACTGCGAGTCTCTTTATAAAGATCCTCTGGCAGTGGCCAGGTAAGTGACTGCACTTGTTCTTGTGTTGCCAGGTATGGATGCAAATCAGCAAGGCCTCCAAGAGGATGGCGGCCGAGCCCAGCAAGTACAGGACACTTCAAGGTCAGCGCACTGACCCTGCCGTAGCAGAAGCTATCTCTCTGGGTCAGTTCACTGTTGTCTTGTTGCGGTGGGGGTTGTCTAGATTAGTTAATGCTACATGTTAATCATTGAAAGATCTGTGAGAGATAGAGACAGAGATGGAGGGATGGGCACAGACATGGAGATGGAGAGAGATGAAACAAATCTAATCAAGATATGTTCTCCTTTACAAATCTTGAACTATTGTGGTCCTGCACCCGATTACATCTCAGTAGAAATCCATGAAGTATCAGATACAGATGCTTGACATCATGGAAGTTAAACCTAACACAGAATCTCAGCATTGTGGAAGTTAAACCTAACACAGAATCTCAGCATTGTGGAAGTTAAACCTAACACATAATCTCAGCATTGTAGAAGTTAATCCTGACTGTGGCTAGTTTGGAGGAAGAGAATTCCCAAGAGCATATACATTCTATCTGATACGTGGAAGTGAATCATGGAAAGTTGGCAGATTGGTGAAAATTTATACGGAAGTGGTGGAGATGTGGTTTCATAGATGAATGATTGGAACACCTTGGATGGATAAAAAGAGGATGTCTTGAAAGAGACTGACTCACAAAGAGAACTGATTGTCCACATCAGAAGGAGACAATCTACATTCTTTGGTCACGTCACAGGATGGAGAAAACTGGAGTATATTATAATGGTGAGAAAGGTGGAGGAGAAAAGAGACTGAGGGAGAAGGTGCTGAACAATGTATTAAATGGCATGGAAGATCATCTGCGTCAGAACTGATTGAAAGTTCGCAAGACAGAAGGTTATGTATAGATATGAATACCAACACTACATGGCTGAGTCTATGGAAGATCATCTGTGTCGGAACTGACTGAAAGTACACAAGACAGAAGCTGAGACTATAAGAAGTAAGCCGCTTCTTGTTATTCTTCTTTCCTGTGGATCCAGATTGTGGAGATCAAAGTCTTGTTTGGATAATTATTTGTTTCAAACATTAAACCAAGGATATTGTATTTCATCTGACCTCTGGTCAATGGGTAAACTAAAATATCTGTGGATCAGAAGTGTGACCTATAATGTTGCTTGTATTCGTGTAATGGTATACTTATAGATAATTTGTGTGTGTGTGCCTGCGTGTGTTTGTGTGTATAAATATAACATTGACTTGTAATATAATTGTTGCAGACATACATAGAACCTTCCCTGAGAATGTCTACTTCAGTCAGCTGTCTGACCCCAACTCACTGCAGAGACCCCTACAGAATATTCTAGAAGCCATCTCTCTCAGCAACCCCCACATAGGCTACTGCCAGGTGGGTCCCTTAGCTCGTGTGGGTTTGTTCTCAGTGACATGTGTGCGTTGTGACAGTTGACATATGTGGGTTGTGACAATGGACATGTGTGGGCTGTCATAGTTGACATATATGGGTTGTAACGTTTGACAAATGGGGGTCGACATATGTAACCACCGACAAAGTGCCAGGACATCATACTGTTTTCCCTTGTACCCTAAGAGACTAGAGTGCAAGGACATCATACTGTTGTCTCTTGTACCCTAAGAGACTAGAGTGCCAGGACATCATACTGTTGTCTCTTGTACCCTAAGAGACTAGAGTGAAAGGACATCATACTGTTGTCTCTTGTACCCTAAGAGACTAGAGTGCCAGGACATCATACTGTTGTCTCTTGTACCCTAAGAGGCTAGAGTGCCAGGACATCATACTGTTGTCTCTTGTACCCTAAGAGACTAGAGTGCAAGGACATCATACTATTGTCTCTTGTACCCTAAGAGACTAGAGTGCCAGGACATCATACTGTTGTCTCTTGTACCCTAAGAGACTAGAGTGCAAGGACATCATACTATTGTCTCTTGTACCCTAAGAGACTAGAGTGCCAGGACATCATACTGTTGTCTCTTGTACCCTAAGAGACTAGAGTGCCAGGACATCATACTGTTGTCTCTTGTACCCTAAGAGACTAGAGTGCAAGGACATCATACTGTTGTCTCTTGTACCCTAAGAGGCTAGAGTGCCAGGACATCATACTGTTGTCTCTTGTACCCTAAGAGACTAGAGTGCAAGGACATCATACTATTGTCTCTTGTACCCTATGAGGCTAGAGTGCAAGGACATCATACTGTTGTCTCTTGTACCCTAAGAGACTAGAGTGCCAGGACATCATACTGTTGTCTCTTGTACCCTAAGAGACTAGAGTGCAAGGACATCATACTGTTGTCTCTTGTACCCTAAGAGGCTAGAGTGCCAGGACATCATACTGTTGTCTCTTGTACCCTAAGAGACTAGAGTGCAAGGACATCATACTGTTTTCCCTTGTACCCTAAGAGGCTAGAGTGCAAGGACATCATACTATTGTCTCTTGTACCCTAAGAGACTAGAGTGCAAGGACATCATACTGTTGTCTCTTGTACCCTAAGAGGCTAGAGTGCAAGGACATCATACTGTTGTCTCTTGTACCCTAAGAGGCTAGAGTGCAAGGACATCATACTATTGTCTCTTGTACCCTAAGAGACTAGAGTGCAAGGACATCATACTGTTTTCCCTTGTACCCTAAGAGACTATAGTGCAAGGACATCATACTATTGTCTCTTGTACCCTAAGAGACTAGAGTGCAAGGACATCATACTATTGTCTCTTGTACCCTAAGAGACTAGAGTGCAAGGACATCATACTGTTGTCTCTTGTACCCTAAGAGACTAGAGTGCCAGGACATTATACTGTTGTCTCTTGTACCCTAAGAGACTAGAGTGCAAGGACATCATACTGTTGTCTCTTGTACCCTAAGAGACTAGAGTGCAAGGACATCATACTGTTGTCTCTTGTACCCTAAGAGACTAGAGTGCAAGGACATCATACTGTTGTCTCTTGTACCCTAAGAGACTAGAGTGCAAGGACATCATACTGTTGTCTCTTGTACCCTAAGAGACTAGAGTGCAAGGACATCATACTATTGTCTCTTGTACCCTAAGAGACTAGAGTGCAAGGACATCATACTGTTTTCCCTTGTACCCTAAGAGACTATAGTGCAAGGACATCATACTGTTGTCTCTTGTACCCTAAGAGACTAGAGTGCAAGGACATCATACTGTTGTCTCTTGTAGTCTAAGAGACTAGAGAACGAGAAGTAGAAGCTGAAGACATATGGAGTCTTGGTCAGTTTGTGTACAAATCCAGGGGCTTGAACCCTGTGACCATTGAGCAGACAGGCAAGGCTGCTAGCTACTGCATCATCACAGCCTTCATCATTCAAATATGAATTGTTTCTATTTACAGTGGCTATACTGTGTGCAAATGTAGTTTTGTTTTTGATTTTTGGTATGTAAAGAGCAAAGAAATAACTGCTTTCTGTCCCTTTGACCATGAAAACAATGGTTTCTTTGAACAGCAGAAAACAAGGTGATGTCAGTGTGTTTATTATGATGTCACATTGACCAGAACAGTGATGTTTGTGTCCACTTCAGCTAACATCTCTACAATATTTGGACACAACCTGAGAAGATGGTGCTATACAGGACACAACATGAGAAGATGGTGCTATACAGGACACAACATGAGAAGATGGTGCTATACAGGACACAACATGAGAAGATGGTGCTATACAGGACACAACATGATAAGATGGCTCTATACTGGACACAACCTGAGAAGATGGTGCTATACTGGACACAACATGAGAAGATGGTGCTATACTGGATACACCCTGAGAAGATGGCGCTATACTGGACACAACATGAGAAGATGGCACTATACTGGACACAACATGAGAAGATGGTTCTATACTGGACACAACATGAGAAGATGGTGCTATACTGGACACAACATGAGAAGATGATGCTATACTGGACACATCATGAGAAGATGGCTCTATACTGGACACAACCTGAGAAGATGGCTCTATACTGTACACAACATGAGAAGATGGTGCTATACTGGACACAACCTGAGAAGATGGTGCTATACTGGACACATCATAAGAAGATGGCTCTATACTGGACACATCATGAGAAGATGGTGCTATACTGGACACATCATGAGAAGATGGTGCTATACCGGACACAACATGAGAAGATGGCTCTATACTGGACACAACCTGAGAAGATGGCTCTATACTGGACACAACATGAGAAGATGGTGCTATACTGGACACAACCTGAGAAGATGGTGCTATACTGGACACATCATGAGAAGATGGCTCTATACTGGACACATCATGAGAAGATGGTACTATACTGGACACATCATGAGAAGATGGTGCTATACTGGACACAACCTGAGAAGATGGTGCTATACTGGACACAACATGAGAAGATGGTGCTATACTGGACACATCATGAGAAGATGGTGCTAAACTGGACACAACATGAGAAGATGGCTCTATACTGGACACAACATGAGAAGATGGTGCTATACTGGACACATCATGAGAAGATGGCTCTATACTGGACACATCATGAGAAGATGGTGCTATACCGGACACAACATGAGAAGATGGCGCTATACTGGACACAACCTGAGAAGATGGCTCTATACTGGACACAACCTGAGAAGATGGTGCTATACTGGACACAACATGAGAAGATGGTGCTATACTGGACACAACCTGAGAAGATGGTGCTATACTGGACGCAACATGAGAAGATGGTGCTATACTGGACACAACCTGAGAAGATGGCTCTATACTGGACACAACATGAGAAGATGGCTCTATACTGGACACAACTTGAGAAGATGGCGCTAAACTGGACACAACCTGAGAAGATGGTGCTATACTGGACACAACCTGAGAAGAAACAAACAGGTAATCACTAAACAACAGGCACTGAGATGGGAAGTAGAGAGATTAAGGAAATGAGGAGGTCCAAGGAAAACTGCCATGTGAATGTTGGTGAGAGATGCTGGACTCACTTCCATCCGTGCTGTTGAAGGAATAGCACAGGATACAATAGAATGGAGACTGATGGAATGGAGAGGAAGACTGATGGCTTGGAGGAATAGACTAATGGCATGGAGGGATAGATTAATGGCATGGAGGAATAGACTGATGGCATGGAAGGATAGATTAATGGCATGGAGGAATAGACTGATGGCACCGAGGGACAGATTAATGGCACCGAGGGACAGATTAATGGCATGGAGGTATAGACTAATGGCATGGAGGGATAGATTAATGGCATGGAGGAATAGACTGATGGCATGGAGGGATAGATTAATGGCATGGAGGAATAGACTGATGGCATGGAGGGATAGATTAATGGCATGGAGGAATAGACTGATGGCATGGAGGAATAGACTAATGGCATGGAAGGATAGATTAATGGCATGGAGGAATAGACTAATGGCATGGAAGGATTGATTAATGGCATGGAGGAATAGACTAATGGCATGGAAGGATTGATTAATGGCATGGAGGAATAGACTGATGGCATGGAGGGATAGACTGATGGCATGGAGGAATAGACTGATGGCATGGAGGGATAGACTGATGGCATGGAGGGATAGACTGATGGTATGGAGGGATAGACTGATGGCATGGAGGGATAGACTGATGGCATAGAGGAATAGACTGATGGCATGGAGGAATAGACTAATGGCATGGAGGGATAGACTGATGGCATGGAGGAATAGACTGATGGCATGGAGGAATAGACTGATGGCATGGAGGGATAGACTGATGGTATGGAGGAATAGACTGTTGGCATGGAGGAATAGACTGATGGCATGGAGGGATAGACTGATGGCATGGAGGTATAGACTGATGGCATGAAGGAATAGACTGATGGCATGGAGGAATAGACTAATGGCATGGAGGAATAGACTAATGGCATGGAGGGATAGACTAATGGCATAGAGGAATAGACTAATGGCATGGAGGAATAGACTGATGGCATGGAGGGATAGACTGATGGCATGGAGGGATAGACTGATGGCATGGAGGAATAGACAGATGGCATGGAGGGATAGACTGATGGCATGGAGGGATAGACTGATGGCATGGAGGTACAGACTAATGGCATGGAGGTATAGACTGATGGCATGGAGGTACAGACTGATGGCATGGAGGTACAGACTGATGGCATGGAGGTACAGACTGATGGCATGGAGGGATAGACTGATGGCATGGAGGGATAGACTGATGGCATGGAGGGATAGACTGATGGCATGGAGGAATAGACTGATGGCATGGAGGGATAGACTGATGGCATGGAGGAATAGACTGATGGCATGGAGGGATAGACTGATGGCATGGAGGAATAGACTGATGGCATGGAGGGATAGACTGATGGCATGGAGGAATAGACTGATGGCATGGAGGGATAGACTGATGGCATGGAGGGATAGACTGATGGCATGGAGGAATAGACTGATGGCATGGAGGGATAGACTGATGGCATGGAGGGATAGACTGATGGCATGGAGGGATAGACTGATGGCATGGAGGAATAGACTGATGGCATGGAGGAATAGACTGATGGCATGGAGGAATAGACTGATGGCATGGAGGGATAGACTGATGGCATGGAGGAATAGACTGATGGCATGGAGGGATAGACTGATGGCATGGAGGGATAGACTGATGGCATGGAGGGATAGACTGATGGTATGGAGGTATAGACTGATGGCATGGAGGGATAGACTAATGGCATGGAGGAATAGACTGATGGCATGGAGGGATAGACTGATGGCATGGAGGGATAGACTGATGGCATGGAGGAATAGACTGATGGCATGGAGGGATAGACTGATGGCATGGAGGAATAGACTGATGGCATGGAGGGATAGACTGATGGCATGGAGGAATAGACTGATAGTATGGAGGGATAGACTGATGGCATGGAGAAATAGAATGTAAACCGTATGTGATGTGTGATGGCACAACAATAGAATAGAACATGAACGTATGTGATGTGCCAGTTTGTTATCTCCAGTAATTCTCTGACAGGGCATGAATTTTGTGGCCGGCTTGTTGCTGTTGATTGTCAAAAGTGAGGAGAAAGCTTTTTGGCTCATGGACACTTTGATACAGAAAATTTTACCAGGTCAGCTTTTGTACATGTTGGAGCATCTGTGTCCATGTCTGTGTTCCTGCATCCTTGTAGGAGCATCTGTGTGTCCATGTCTGTGTTCCTGCATCCTTGTTGGAGCATCTGTGTCCATGTCTGTGTTCCTGCATCCTTGTAGGAGCATCTGTGTGTCCATGTCTTGTGTTCCTGCATCCTTATTGGAGCATCTGTGTCCATGTCTATGTCTCTGTCTCTTTATGTATATGTCTTTGTGTCTGTCTCTGTGTCTGAGTTTCCATGCCTTGAGTATTTGATTAATTATTTTAGTCTCTGTTTTGACATTGATTCAAATTAAAACAAAAGAAATAAATAAAATAAATCCTGTATGAATGGGTGTTGCAGATTTCTATGCCCCAGACATGGTAGCTATTCGAGCTGAACAAGATCTGCTGGGTGAGATTGTCAGGTAAGTTCAAAACATGTAATTGTTAAGTGAGGTAGAGATGTGACATTGTCAGGTGTATTGAAGGTGTGAGATTGACAAGTGTATTGAAGGTGTGGGATTGTCAGGTGTATTGAAGGTGTAGGATTGACAGGTGTATTTAAGGTGTGAGACTGTCACTTGTATTTAAGGTTTGGGATTGTCAGGTGTGTTGAAGGTGTGGGATTGTCAGGTGTATTTAAGGTGTGGGATCATCAGGTGTTTCGAAGGTGTGGGATTGTCAAGTGTATTGAAGGTGTGGGATTGTCAGGTGTATTAAAGGTGTGGGATTGTCAGGTGTATTGAAGGTGTGAGATTGTCAGGTGTATTGTAGGTGTGAGATTGTCAGGTGTATTGAAGGTGTGAGATTGTCAGGTGTATTGTAGGTGTGGGATTGTCATGTGTATTGAAGGTGTCGGATTGTCAGGTATATTGAAGGTGTGGGATTGTCAGGTATATTGAAGGTGTGGGATTGTCAGGTGTATTGTAGGTGCGAGATTGTCACTGGTATTGAAGGTGTGAGATTGTCAGGTGTATTGTAGGTGTGAGATTGTCAGGTGTATTAAAGGTGTTGGATTGTCAGGTGTATTGAAGGTGTGAGATTGTCAGGTGTATTGTGGGTGTGGGATTGTCAGGTATATTGAAGGTGTGGGATTGTTGGGTGCATTGAAGGTGTCTGAATGTCAGGTGTATTAAAGGTGTGAGATTGTCAGGGGTATTGAGGGTGTGAGATTGTCATTTGAGTTGAATGTATGAGACCTTTAGATGAGGTAGTCAGATCTGCAGATGTGAGACATCAAGAACACACAATGTATTGAGCAAGAATTCCTCATTCATTTATCCTAGAGCTCATTGAATAAAACTGAATATGATGTAAATCAAGATGTGAAGTTGACCATGATTTCTGTCCAGGTGGAAACTGCCCCAAGTCCACGCTCACCTGGAGGCTCTGGGTGTCCAGTGGTGCCTGGTGGGCATGAAGTGGTTCATCTGTCTCTTTGCTGATGTCATGCCCGTGGAGGTAAGATTGACATCCCTGACACTCACTCAGGGTAACCTCCTACAACTGTAGACTCAGGCATATTTCTAGATGGCTGCTGTATCAGCTTGTCGTCTGTCTTTATAAGCGGTGACAGATATTGATGGAGCAGAGTGGGGCACTTTGTTATAGACAGTAGAATTACTATCTCAAAGAGGTTTTATAATCTGTGGACAAACATGGACAATCCACAAACATGGACATACATGATAGACATTGATAAACAAACATGGTCATACAATTTAGACAGAGATTGATACAATCTGTAAACAAACATGGAAGCACATGATAGACTTTAATACAATCTGTAGACACTGGTGGACATGCCGGTGCAACCTGGAGCTGCAAGAAATGAATATTTCACTAAGGGAACAAGACGTTTCATCAGCCAACACACAACAGGCGTCATCAGTCGTTTTACACTTGTGGAGCTTTTGAGGAGGAGATCAGAGCACATATGGATCTGTCACGAGTGCTGTAATAATCCTTTCTAATCACTAATCACTATCTGTAGACAAAGACAAACACAGACATACATGATGCACAGACATTGACACAATTTGTAGACACACATTATAGACAGACATTGACACAATCTGTAAACATGAGAGTTTGTAAGCAAATATTTGTTTATTCTATTCACAAATGATTTCTGTGGATAAAAGATTATGAACACAGTTTCACAGTACTAACACACCAGAGTTTGAAGTTAACTGTTTAGTGGAAACTTTTGTGGGTCAAGTTTGACACTGGTATGTGCGGTGTACCATTGGGAAAGTAGTAGCAAACGACAGCACATCACCTTTGCATAGAGATCCCATACAACACATCAAATTTGCCTAGAGACCCCATACAACACATCAGATTTACCTAGAGACCCCATACAGCACATCAGCTTTGCCTAGAGACCCCATACAATAGACAGCAAATGTTAGAATTAGTTTTTTGGGCCCTGTTTAGGAAATGAGGCAAAGTGTTTTTAAAAAAAGTATGTACACATAGCTGCAGTATATTCTATTCACAACATAATTCTCAAGTGTTTTTATTGTTTTTATTTTTATGTCATAATCCTCAGATAGTGTTACATTGACATAATCCTCAGATAGTGTTCATTGACATAATCCTCAGATAGTGTTCATTGACATAATCCTCAGATAGTGTTCATTGACATTATCCTCAAACAGTGTTACATTGACATTATCCTCAGACAGTGTTACATTGACATTATCCTCAGACAGTGTTACATTGACATTATCCTCAAACAGTGTTACATTGACAGAATCCTCAAATAGTCTTACATTGACATTATCCTCAGACAGTGTTACATTGACATTATCCTCAGACAGTGTTACATTGACATTATCCTCAGACAGTGTTACATTAACATAATCCTCAAACAGTGTTACATTAACATAATCCTCAAACAGTGTTACATTAACATAATCCTCAAACAGTGTTACATTAACATAATCCTCAAACAGCGTTATATTAACATAATCCTCAAACAGCGTTACATTAACATAATCCTCAAACAGCGTTACATTAACATAATCCTCAAACAGTGTTACATTGACATAATCCTCAGACAGTGTTACATTGACAGAATCCTCAGATGGAGTTACATTGACATAATCCTCAGACAGTGTTACATTGACATAATCCTCAGACAGTGTTACATTGACAGAATCCTCAGATGGAGTTACATTGACATAATCCTCAGATAGTGTTACATTGACATTATCCTCAGATGGTGTTACATTAACATAATCCTCAGATGGTGTTACATTAACATAATCCTCAGACAGTGTTACATTGACAGAATCCTCAGATGGAGTTACATTGACACAATCCTCAGACAGTATTACATTGACATTATTCTCAGACAGTGTTACATTGACATTATCCTCAGACAGTGTTACATTGACATTATCCTCAGACAGTGTTACATTGACATAATCCTCAGACAGTGTTACATTGACACAATCCTCAGACAGTGTTACATTGACATTATTCTCAGACAGTGTTACATTGACATTATCCTCAGATGGAGTTACATTGACATAATCCTCAAACAGTGTTACATTAACATAATCCTCAGATGGAGTTACATTGACATAATCCTCAGACAGTGTTACATTGACATTATCCTCAGACAGTGTTACATTGACATTATCCTCAGACAGTGTTACGGATATGGGACTGTTTGTTCCTGGAGGGTTCAAAGATTCTGCTGCGTGTGGCCTTGACACTGATCACCTTGAACAAGGACAGTTTGCTCAAGTGCACCAACTTCCCTCAAGCAGTTGATGTCTTCAAAGACATCGTCAATGACCCAGTAACCCTGGACTGCCACAGTTTTCTGCAGGTTAGATGTTTATGTGTACTGTCTTCTCTGCTAATGTGTTTATGTATTCTGTCATCTCTGCTAATACATGTTAGTGTACTGTCATCTCTACTAGTATGTTTGCATGTACTGTCATCTCTGCTAATACATGTTTGTGTAGTGTCATCTCTGTTAATACATGTTAGTGTAGTGTCATCTCTACTAGTATGTTTGCATGTACTGTTATCTCTGCTAATACATGTTAGTGTACTGTCATCTCTGCTTATACATGTTAGTGTACTGTCATCTCTGCTAATACATGTTAGTGTACTGTCATCTCTGTTAATACATGTTAGTGTACTGTCATCTCTGTTAATATATGTTAGTGTACTGTCATCTCTGTTAATACATGTTAGTGTACTGTCATCTCTGTTAATACATGTTAGTGTACTGTCATCTCTGTTAATACATGTTAGTGTACTGTCATCTCTGTTAATACATGTTAGTGTACTGTCATGTCTGCTAATACATGTTAGTGTACTGTCATGTCTGCTAATACATGTTAGTGTACTGTCATGTCTGCTAATACATGTTAGTGTACTGTCATGTCTGCTAATACATGTTAGTGTACTGTCATGTCTGCTAATACATGTTAGTGTACTGCCATGTCTGCTAATACATGTTAATGTACTGTCATGTCTGCTAATACATGTTAGTGTACTGTCATCTGTGTTAGTTATATGTTTGTGTGTACTGTGAGACAAACGGAGGAGTTTAAGAGTTTCACAAGGGGAGGATTTCATGTACACATTTTACTGGAAAACAGTTGGAACAAGTTGTCAGCATTAAGCATTACATAAAACATGAGTGGATTACTGTGAGCCAGGACATGTTGTTATGTATTCATCATCCCAGAGAATCTGCCAGGTTGGACATGTGTTCATCATCCCAGAGAATCTGCCAGGGTGGACATGTGTTCATGATCCCAGAGAATCTGCCAGGGTGGATATGTGTTCATGATCCCAGAGAATCTGCCAGGGTTATGCAGGGGAAAACAGACCTGGCAGAGCAACAGTTAAAAAGAGACTGGGATGATGGGATGAGTGGTCCAGTTATCTGGGAAAGCCGGATGAACCTCCTGGCCATGTCATGTTGAGAGTGATAAGAAAGTCCTTGTTCTTGCTTCAGGAAAGACAGTCTTGATAATTGAGAATGGACACCAGCAACTAATATGTAATTTGTGTCTGTTTTCTGCAAGATCACACAGTTGTCTAAGTGTACTAGACTAACACATGACATCACTTGTGTGATCTGTTCTTACCCAACTACACTAGTCAACAATTCACAGGAGCTAACAATTATCGCTTTTCAACCTGTTGAGATGAAAATGTAGCTCTGCTGTACTGAGCCTACCAAGCGGAATGGGTCGGTCATAGACAAAACTCAGAAACAGGTCAAACCCCAGCCAGTAAAAACCACACAAAAACTGGGTTGTTCCGTATCTTTTATTAACTTGTCCCTAACCATGTTTTGTGCATCTCCCCAGAGTATATTTTCAGTGACCGGTTCCATGCCACGGGCTAAAATAGCATCCTTGCGAGAGCAGTGTGTGAGACGGATACTGAAGTCATAAAGGCAGTCGCAGACAGCTGGAAGTGCCAGACTGCCATCATGTCAATGAGTCAGTGACATCCCACAGACAGCTGGAAATGCCAGACTGCAGTCATGTCACCGAGTCAGTGACATCCCACAGACAGCTGGAAATGCCAGACTGCAGTCATGTCAACGAGTCAGTGACATCCCACAGACAGCTGGAAATGCCAGACTGCAGTCATGTCACCGAGTCAGTGACATCCCACAGACAGCTGGAAATGCCAGACTGCAGTCATGTCACCGAGTCAGTGACATCCCACAGACAGCTGGAAATGCCAGACTGCCATCATGTCACCGAGTCAGTGACATCCCACAGACAGCTGGAAGTGCCAGACTGTCATCATGTCACCGAGTCAGTGACATCCCACAGACAGCTGGAAATGCCAGACTGCAGTCATGTCAACGAGTCAGTGACATCCCACAGACAGCTGGAAATGCCAGACTGCCATCATGTCAACGAGTCAGTGACATCCCACAGACAGCTGGAAATCCCTAGACTGCAGTCATGTCAGCGAGTCAGTGACATCCCACAGACAGCTGGAAATGCCAGACTGCAGTCATGTCAGCGAGTCAGTGACATCCCACAGACAGCTGGAAATGCCAGACTGCAGTCATGTCAGTGACATCCCACAGACAGCTGGAAATGCCAGACTGCAATCATGTCGAGTCAGTGACACCCCACGGACAGAACAATATTTAGAGTTTGACCACAGATGTTGATGTTGTTCCAGAAATAAAATAATCACTGTGTTATCTTAGATAAAATAATGATCACTTTGAGAAGAAATCATGATTGCGTGAGTCGCTGTTTCAAGTTTCATCATCTTTGAACCGCAGCGCTATGGCTGCTTGAGGAATTGGCAAGAATTGTCTGAAACATTGTAACAACTATTTATCCACATGCACAGTTGTTAGCCACATGGCGTTGCACATATAAATGATTGTTGTGGCATGTTGACACATTTTCTAACCTAAATGTCATCCTTGATGATCTGATGGGCGTGTAATCACTAGAGAGAGCAGTACTTTCCAGAATGGGCGCTACGACCCCCATGTAGGCGCTGGGATGGTCGGATGGGGGCTGCCTGCTTTGATCAAATTGTGGTGGTGGGGGGGGGGGGGTGCTGGGACAGTCCAGGGAGGTGGTAGCCGCCCCAGTTGGGTAGGGGTGGGGGGCATCAAATGGAAATAAGGCAGATAGAGAGACATAGAAAGCATCTGTATAAACTGTTTGTATCTGTCTCATTTTTGTATCTGTCTCATTTTAATGTAACAGATTAAGATTGTAATAAAGAAATTATGCTGAAACCAATCAGGTTCATCCTTCTAATGAAAATATTATTCCTTAGTTTTGTTGTAATGTTCCCATACTTTGGACACTGAGTGGAAGGAGGGTGTGAGCTGAACAAGCGAATGCTGAGACAGATGAAGCTTTAACAGTAAAAATGAACAATTCTTCCTCTGTGTAAACAAGAGTTCATTATAAAGTTTAAGTTACCCTGGTAAAAATAACTGTCATGAACATTTGGCAGTTAGACAAATTTTGGTATGCACATTATTTAAATGGAAAATATGGGAATATATTGTTTTCAATAAGACAGTGTACTGAAGATTCATTGCAGCCAAGCTTTCCTGCAGAGACAGCGCTTGATTGATTAATTTTCTAACACAAACAAGCTTTCTGTGCACAGATTTATGCATTGAAAACTGTTAGGGATTTCAGAGAGATACAGGAAATGAGGATCATAAAAGCACAACATAATATCAGCCCAAACTTTGGTCATCTTCTCTGACCAGCCCAAACTTTGGTCATCTTCTCTGACCAGCCCAAACTGTGGTCATCTTCTCTGACCAGCCCAAACTGTGGTCATCTTCTCTGACCAGCCCAAACTTTGGTCATCTTCTCTGACCAGCCCAAACTTTGGTCATCTTCTCTGACCAGCCCAAACTGTGGTCATCTTCTCTGACCAGCCCAAACTGTGGTCATCTTCTCTGACCAGCCCAAACTTTGGTCATCTTCTCTGACCACCCCAAACTTTGGTCATCTTCTCTGACCAGCCCAAACTTTGGTCATCTTCTCTGACCAGCCCAAACTTTGGTCATCTTCTCTGACCAGCCCAAACTTTGGTCATCTTCTCTGACCAGCCCAAACTTTGGTCATCTTCTCTACTGTCTTATTCTATTTCTGTATATTTAATTTTTCTGCATTTTTATTATTTCCTCTTGTCTTTCAACTTTGGGCTGAATTTAATAAAAATTAGAATTTTCCAGAAGGATAATCATAATGAGTGGTTTGTAACACGTTCATTCAAGTCTGTAGGTGTTTGGTTTTGTATTGAGACATCTCAACCAGCTGGTGTCAGACTTTCTGCCATTGAAGTTGTCCATGTTGAACCCAAGACATAGCTTGTTTACCTGCTCAGTTAGAATCTAGAAAAAGTGAATATATTTATATCTTTTACAAACTGTTTTCTCTCTTTTTTTTAAAAACTTGTGTGTTTTGTAGAACTTGTTTTCCAAAGATAGGAGAGTAGCAATAATTTAACTTGTGTGAGATAAAAATGCTGTGTGAGATAAATATGCTGTGTGAGGTAAATATGCTGTGTGAGGTAAATATGATGTGAGATAAATATGCTGTGTGAGGTAAATATGATGTGTGAGATAAATATGATGTGTGAGGTAAATATGCTGTGTGAGGTAAATATGATGTGTGAGGTAAATATGCTGTGTGAGGTAAATATGATGTGAGATAAATATGATGTGTGAAGTAAATATGATGTGTGAGGTAAATATGATGTGTGAGGTAAATATGCTGTGTGAGGTAAATATGATGTGTGAGGTAAATATGATGTGTGAGGTAAATATGATGTGAGATAAATATGCTGTGTGAGGTAAATATGATGTGAGATAAATATGCTGTGTGAGGTAAATATGATGTGAGATAAATATGCTGTGTGGGGTAAATATGATGTGTGAGGTAAATATGATGTGTGAGGTAAATATGATGTGAGATAAATATGCTGTGTGAGGTAAATATGATGTGTGAGGTAAATATGATGTGTGAGGTAAATATGATGTGAGGTAAATATGATGTGTGAGATAAATATGATGTGTGAGGTAAATATGATGTATGTAAATATGATGTGTGAGATAAATATGATGTGTGAGGTAAATATGTATGATGAATATAATGTAAGATAAATATGATGTGTGAGATTAATATGATGTGTGAGATAAATATGTGTCAGATTAATATGATGTGTGAGATAAATTTGATGTGTGAGAAAAAAATGACATTTGAGATAAATATGACATTTGAGATAAATATTATGTGTGAGATAAATATGTACTTTAATTAGGTATCATTTTTTTTTTTTACAACAGGTCAAGAAAATTTTGCTGTTGTACGTTAGATCTGTAAAAGGGTGAATTTTATTTTTTTTAACGTGAATTTTAATAACCAATCCTGTTTGAGTTTCCAGAATTTGGATATTGTTGTATTTCCTTTGTTTTATGTGTGCTGCCATGTGTGTTATTGTATTGTTTGTATTTTCAAGTGTGATGTTTGTCATATAATACATTGATGTTCCATTGATGTGTGCTGCCATTTGTGTTATTGTATTGTCTGTATTTTCTAGTGTGATGTTTGTCATATAATACATTGATATTCCAGTAGACCACACACCGGTGGATGTGTGCTGCCATTTGTGTTATTGTATTGTCTGTATTTTCAAGTATGATGTTTGTCATATAATACATTGATGTTTCAGTAGACCACACACCGGTTGATGTGTGCTAGTTGTGTGACAAGGCTTGTGTGTCACACTAGTTGCTGCAAATAAGATTGCGTGATTTAGTTGTCACATTTTTGTTGTCATGTTTTTGTTTTCTTTATATATTGTTAAGAAAACACATTTCTGAGACCACATCAATATATTTGTTTATTGCTAACTAGAAAGGCTGTGAAAAAAATGAGATGTTTAAGAAAGGCTGTGAACAAGAATGAGATGTTTAGAAAAGCAGTGAACAAAAATGAGATGTTTAAGAAAGGCAGTGAACAAAAATGAGATGTTTAAGAAAGGCCGTGAACAAAAATGTGATGTTTAAGAAAGGCCGTGAACAAGAATGAGATGTTTAGAAAGGCAGTGAACAAAAAAGAGATGTTTAAGAAAGGCAGTGAACAAAAATGAGATGTTTAAGAAAGGCCGTGAACAAAAATGAGATGTTTAAGAAAGGCCGTGAACAAGAATGAGATGTTTGGAAAGGCAGTGAACAAAAATGAGATGTTTAAGAAAGGCTGTGAACAAAAATGAGATGTTTAAGAAAGGCTGTGAACGAGAATGAGATGTTTAAGAAAGGCAGTGAACAAAAAAAAAGATGTTTAAGAAAAGCAGTGAACAAAAATGGGATGTTTAAGAAAGGCCCTGAACAAAAATGAGATGTTTAAGAAAGGCAGTGAACAAGAATGAGATGTTTAAGAAAGGCCGTGAACAAAAATGAGATGTTTAAGAAAGGCCCTGAACAAAAATGAGATGTTTAAGAAAGGCCGTGAAAAAAACTAGAAGAGATCATGTGAGGAAACAAGTCATTACAAGAAATATTGGGAAAATGCCTGTGCTTAAATTAATTGAAAAACAAAGAGTGAAATGGTTTGGCTATTCAATGAGAATGAATCCAGTGATGCCAGCAGCAAGAGAGTACAACATGAAAGCAGAAACACCAAGAGGTAGAATGACCAAGAAGAAGATGGATTGAAGGAGTCAGTGATATCTTGAGACTCCACAGCATACAGGACAACTGAGTGTGCCCTGGCTCAGAAACTGATCATCTGTTAACCCGCAACATCTGGCGCCACAAAGCAGATCATGAACAAAACAAAGAAAGTAGAAATGAGATCTTACTTATGACTTATCTATTTGTTTCCTGTCACTGGTAGAATAGTTCAGTGCTGCTGTACCAAGAAATCAGAACCAAAAATGA